TATATATATATATAGCATATCCCTGAAATAATCTAAATGGCTTGTTGGATTGATTTCAGTACTTACTGTAACATAGATGTCCCTCAGGAGAATACCGTATGCCATCCACATAATTGCACTTACTGTGAGGAGGAGTGAGAGAGTGATCGGCATGAACTCAACACTTTTGGTGCGAATAACCACTTTCTGAAATTCAACAAGTTCAACCATGCATGCAGCATGTTGATTACTGATTACTACCAATAAATGTTGTTTGCATATTATCTATATTTTGTATCAAATCAAGTAAAATTTATTGATTATTATGTAATATATATAAATATTTTTAATAACATTTATAACTAATCAAATATATTTTAATTATTTTTAAAAATTGTGATTAATTTTCTATCTACCAAACACTTTCTAAAAGAGAAAGATAAACAGTGTTTAACAAAAATATTCAGCATCACTAATTTTCAATTTTGGTAAATACTTGTAAGAAAAATATTAGAATATATAAATTGAATTGAGTTTTTTTCATAAGTTAAAATTAAACTTATCAAATCAAGTTTTAAAAGAAGTTAAATTTGAAATTAAACTTCTATAAAAGTAAAATAATAAGAGAGAAATTAAATTTATTTTACCATCTTAATTTTTTTTTTTTATATAGGGTTAGTTGAAAAGTTTTAACTTAAAAGCTTAATCAAAATTTTAACTCAAACTAGTGTTGTATATACTCACAATAATGCTCAGAGGTGCTGCAAACACACTGGTAGAAAGGACAACACAAATCCATCCAAGAAGCTCGATACGTGCTGTGCGTTCTTTTGCTAGAACGTGGGTGAGAAGAATAACCAAGAAAATCACCCCAACGTTGAACAAGAAAATCATCTTCAAGGTAAAGTACTGCGAATCCAATCATAGTCTCAAATTAATTATATTGGTCATATATATGAAAAATTAATGACAGAGACATTGTAAGTGTCCTATATAATTATAATTCACCTATAGCATCAACATAAATTTATGTATACTTACTCACCCTTGCTTTCTTGGGGCAATAAGTGATATAGATGACAAGGTAAACTGTCTCAATGAAACATCCGAATGCATTGATGGTGATGAGAAGTATTTCGCCCGTCTTTATGTAGGCATAAAAAATCCAAAGCATTGAAGTGAAGAGTGCAGCCACATAAGGAAGTGATTGGAAACCTTCCGTGGTTTTCTTCTTACAAACTCTATAAAATGTTGGTCTGCAAAACAAGCATGCAATGCAAGTGACTCAATAATTTGATCTCTCAACTAGTACTAGTTACGCGTCATCATAATAAATGAACAAGCGTCACTTACACTGGTGCTAGAAAGCAACAGAAGGAGACAAGGTTCCCTACAAACAACGTTCACAAAGAAAGAAAATCATATCAGTTCATCTCTCGAGACACATAAGCGAAGAAAACGCAAATTTTCATCACTAAATTTGGTCATTCATTAGTAGAGATGTGAATTAGCTTAATGTGTAGAGATACCTAGAAGTCCAGCAGCAAAAATCAAACGAGGGTCGTGAGTCATGGTTTCAGAATATGATAAATATTCCCTCGATTGAAAAAAGAGAGAAGAGAAAAGAAGGAAGGTTTGAAGGGAAGGTAGCTCTAGCTAGCTTTGTGTTATTAAGACCCTTGCCACGGAAGAAAAGGGAATGAAGATCCCTTATATATAGTGAGATAGTGAACCACATTATGCAACCATGAATTCAATGAATGATATTGTGAGGCATGCATGTAATTTTGGGTGCCAACTCAACCCATTATTATTGTATCTAGTTGGTGTGATGTAGCTCTTTAATTAATACTCGGCCCGACCCTTTCCTTATTATAACATTTTTTTTAATATTTACGTCTGAAAATGCCTTCTCCTGATATCATTTATGTTTTCCAACGCCTCACTGTTTCCACTCGCACGTGACTCATCTCTATTATTTGCCCTCTCATTCCCCTTTCAACAAGTCTCACTCATTTTATTGCTTGTGTTGGTGTGGAACCTCAATATTTTGATGCGCAATACGCCGCCAAAGATCCCTTGCTGTTGCTGATTCACACCACCATTATTAATGCTACAATTAGGTCACCAAATTTTCATGAGCTGGAGATAAGAACGAGACACGTGTCACAATGAGGTGATCACCCATCCACTGTTGCATTACAACAAGTTGGAGTGTATTACTAGAATTTGGATGATTTGCTGATACAACAGTAATGATATATATTATCAAAAATAAAAAGTGTTCAATATTTCTAATCTTGAAAAATTTTAGAAGTGTTGTTCAATACTTTTATCTAAAAAAAATATTTGTTTTAGAATTATTATTCTTGATATTGAACCATTAAATTATAGGATATATTGTTTTATTAAAAAGACACAGACACAAAGTTTCAATGCAATCAATAGTTTATAGAAAATAATAGTGATAAATTTATGTTGTTTCTGTCTAAATTAGGATTATAACTTGCTATACAAGAAGGGAAGATCCAGATGCTTAGAGATATTTATTTCTTTCCACGTAAATCCAACTCAACACTATCTGGATGGTATAGTTTTTGACTGTGACACGTGACGGTGGAATTTGAAGTTCTCCTCGTGATTAACTTAAATGTGTCTCCTTTGGTAGATTCACCTTGTGATATGATGACAAAATATCTACCGGCTTCATAATAATATGTGCATGTGAATTCTATTTTCTTTAGAGTTGTATTCTGTTTTATAATATATTATACAGATGATTACTTTTATATTTTTCCATTACATCGTATTTTATCTTACACATTTTTTTCCTCTCTTCCAATATCTTATTTGAAGAAGAAAAAAATAATGAAAAAGTACAATTTCCCGTTCTACTTATACAATTTTAACTAGCTTAATTACTTAGACAATATACAAGGCTTGAGTTTTAAATCAACCTTTGTGTGGGCATATATTTATCTAATAATATAAAAGTGTGAGTTTGTGGAGTTTAGGTTGAGTGGTTTATGAGTCCCAAAGGTTTGTGTCCCATACATTCGCAATCCGCTCATTTATATACTCTTATATCTGCTTTTAACTCGTTAATGTGGGACTTAAAATATCAAAATTACGTAAGGCATTATAGAAAGAAAACATGGTGTATGTCCGTGCACGTGATGCCGTTATTAAATGTTTATTTTTTCATAATTATTGATGTTTTACAGTTAATATGTTTTTTTCATAATAAGTACCGTATGGTGTATAGAAAAATTTGAAAGTAAACATTATAGTAGTTTTTTTAATATAATATTAATCACTTATTTTTATTTTTATAGCTTAAAAATATTTTTAAAAATTGTTGTAATAAAATTAATAATTAAGAATAATTAAATAAGTCAATTCATCTTGTCCTATAAAATAAACCAACTCATGTATGCATAGTCCTAAAAATTGGATTTAATTGATTGATTTGATCAGAATCAATCATATTGATCTTAAAAATAGTTTTGTAGCAAATCAATAAAATAAAAAAATCAGTAAGACGATTTAGAACCTGTCAAAACAGGTAAAATCGATTGAACTGATTTAATTAAAAAATATATTTTATTTTTAAAATTTAATTTAAAATATTTTTAATAAAAATACATATTTAAATAAGATAAACTATTTTTAATACTTATATTATAAATATAGTATAATTATTTATGTCAATTTACTATTTTTAATATCTTTACTTTTTATAATTTATATTATATTAAATTGTTATCCTTTTATTTTAAATATAAATTTGTTATTATTAATGGATATTGTTATGTGTTATTAAAATTTAAAATTAAATATTATATTAGATTAAATCCAAAGAATTTATAGTTAATTTTTTATTTTAATTTTTAGTTTTATGAAATTATTATATTACATTTATTGAATATTATTTTTGTATTGATAATGATAATAATAATAGTTATTTTATTAATATTAGTTTGATGATAATTGAATCATAAGTCTTTGAATTAGTGTTTAGTATAGACCGATTTAATAACCAATTCAGTTTTAAAAAATATTGTATAAGAGAAGTAGGTCAATAAGTTTTTAACTCATCTTAACAATAAATTTGCAACTCAATTAGCTCAACAGTTAAAAAATAAATACACTAACTTAAATTTTGAATAATAGTTTATTTAAACATAATAAATTAAATAAAAATCATAGAAAATTAATAACATGATTGTTCGCACTTAGTTAACATTTATATATGGTTATATATATTATAATACGAAACATTAATCCAAAAGAGTAAAAAATGATACTATTGTTTTATTTAAATTTTGTATATTAATATAGTAAAGTGAAAGTCAATCATAAAAAATAAAGTAACATAATATAATGATAATTAAAAAAAAAAAAACGAGTTGGTGAGTTCATCTATCTTACATTTAGCCCGTTTCCTTTTTAGGTCAGGGGTTGATTAATTGGAAATCTCAACCCGTTACAAAAAATTGGAGAAAAAAAAACACATTAGTCAGATTCTTTTATTTATATATATAACCAATCCATTTCACTACCTTTTCTTTGGTAGAGAGATAGGCATTTTAAGAAATACTAAATATTATTCAAAAACTAGTAAATTTAATTTTAAAATTACTCATTTAATATTTATTATTAGAATAGTTGTGGAGTATGACCTAATTATTAAATATGAATATATGTCAAAAATAATAATTCATGAAACTTAAAATTTATAAAACTTCAATAATTTAAAATACTAAGCATCGATAATTTTGGGGAAAAAAGTTTTTTTTGTTTATAACTAATCGATCTAAGATTAAAAACTACATTGGTCCTATAATTTACTAAAAAATTCTTTTAGTTTTTATAATTTTTTTTAAAATAATGAAATAGTTTTGCTTTTTCATTAGTTTTTGACATTAAAAATTACCAAGAGTTATTAATGACAATTGTTGACATTTACATAATTTTTTACATAAATAATACTATTTTTAAAAAAAATTATCTAAATAGTAATTGTGCAAATTTATTTCTCCAGCTAGCATCATTTACTGTTCACGTTCAAAACGGACCATTCTGAAATCAGAACGGGCCGTTCCGGATTAAAAAATAACACATGAAAAACAGATCAGAATGGGTCGTTCCAAAAATTAACACATAAAAAGTGGAAACAGAACAGGCCGTTCTGTCCTATAAATAAATTTTTTTTGTTTGATTTTCACTTATGAAATACCAAAACTAAGAAACTACTATCAAGTGATTAAATTTATTGAATATTAACATTATAAATATAACTAAATAAATTTATTAAAATTCATTACAACAATAAAGATCAATGGTGGCGAAAACTGAATTCATGACCAATATTTGGATATGTCTTCCTAGTGTGACCAGGGGTGTGACAATAGGAACAATTTTTTACATGATTATATTGTTCTCTAATGTCTATCTCTGTTCTAATCTTGCTAACTTTGGCTGACCTTTGAAAGTTCTCTTGAGTTCTGGATTTTGCCACAAAGTTAAAAGAAACGCAACATTCGAGAAAAGTTTGACCCGCTAGGAGATTTATAATAAGGCTAAATGAAATGTGGTATGATTGCAGCAAGTTCTAGAAAGGTATACGAAGGACAGTTTGGAGAGCTCCGACATGAAGATTATTGACCTACTTACATTGGTCCAACTTTGTGGCCAAATCCATAACTCAAACAAACTTTCAAGGGTTGGTCAAAGTCCAGCAGAATTAAAACAGAGATGGACATTAGAGAATAACATAATCAGTTTCTGCCACCATTGATCTTTATTGTTGTATTGAATTTTAATAAATTTGTTTAGATATATTTATAATGTTAATATTCAATAAATTTAATTATTTGATGTTAGTTTTTGAGTTTTGGTATTTGATAAGTGAAAATTGAAAAAAAAAATTTATTTGTAGGTCAGAACGACCCATTATGATTCCTCTTTTTATGTGTTAATTTTGATTTTGGAACGGCCCATTCCGAAATTGAACAGTAAATGATTCTAATTTGGGAAATAAATTTGCACAGTTGATATTTGGATAAATTTTTTTTAAAATAGTATTATTTGAGTAAAAAAAACTCATATTTACAAGTGTCACATCATAAAATAAACCACGTCATCAAAAGTGCTCCATCAATAAAGACTAAAAATAAAAAGAATTATAAAGATCATACGAAAATAATTATAAATACCTAAAGAAAAAGCAATATATTTGCTGTGCAACAAAAAAATGTATTTAAACTTTAAATTAAACATTAATATAAAATAAATACTTGAATATTAAATTGACTTCTATAAATTTGAGTCTGATTATCTAATTCATAATTTCAAAAATTGACTTGGGTCTGATTTTTGTTACGTACGATCTAAAGTTTAAAACTTAATTTGTCTTATTTGAATATTAGGTTTCATATAATATATTATAATGGTAGCACCATGATATTTTGTATGCTTTTGATTTTTAGTAATGAACTAAGTCACCCTTAAATAAGATGTTTTGCCTACACCAAAAATTAAGATAATATAATCACCCATTATAACCAATGAGATCCACCCATCCAAACATATTTTCTAATCATGATTGCAACGACGAGCTAGGCGAAGTTGTTTGGTTCTAGCTGTCTTTTAAATGTGCAGTCATACATATATACATATTAATATCGTTCACTTAAACAAACTTGAACTATTTAAAAAATAATAATTTTGATTTAGCTTGGCCTGTTTAAATTAAAGGTCTATAGAGGTAAAAACATGCACGTTGATCTATCAAGGATATGTCATAAAAATATTAGTTAATGGAGTAGGTCAAATACATGTAGTAGTCTCTTGTTACTTCTTTCATTAGATAAATGTTTGTCATATAATTGTTTTCATATTTATACAGGTATATGTTAAGTAAATTTTTACATTTTTTTTCTATATTAAAAGGTATACGTAGATATTTATTTAAAATAACTTATAAATAATTTTTAAAAAATAATTTATATGTATTCTAATAATCTATTTAAAAATTATAACTAAAATATAAAACTTCACTTATTTAAATATTATACATAATTTTACTAATCAAGATTCTTTAATTTAAAAATTAAATTTAATTGTTAAATTACTTCATTCCAATAAGTTCAAACAAATTTAATAAACTAAAAAAAATTTAATTCTACAATTCCAAATAAAATTTAAAAAATTATAATATTTCAATCTTAGTCTAAATAAAATAAATTTAAGTAGTATCAAATTTTCACTTAACATGTGTTATATACTTTTTAAAAAAAAGTAATTTTATTATAACAAGTATTTAATAAATATTTGCAAACAAATGCCTTAATATTTATCCCCTTCTCCATTTATTATCAGTTACAAATATATTTATTTAAATTATTGATGGTAACAATTTAAATATTCATTTATTTTTCATTACAAATTTTAATTAATATTCACGAGTATGAATATTTTTGTGTGCTAACCTTCAAACAAATTAAATTAGAACTTAAAAATTAACATGTCATTTTTCTTTTTAATCCTTTATAAATTATTTATATTCTTTTGGTATGTATTATATTTATTAATTTTTTGTCTTAAGTCTCCGTAAATTATTTTTTTCAGTCCTTAATAACCTAACATTGATGACTTACAGTTACTGGTATGTCAATATCGTTAATCATGCTTGTTAAATATCTTTAAAAAAAAACGTTTTCTAAATTTTTTCTTAAATATATAGGAATTAAATAAATTATAAGATAACAATATATTTAACAACGTTTCTGGCGGCGCCCCCTCCTCAGACTTCTCTGCCACTATTCAAAGTCCAATTTTTTTTTACCTGCTTTCTAAACGATAGTTACAACCACAAATCACAATGGAAGTCCCCGTCAAATAAATGATTGTATACAAAACGTTAAAAACAACTGCAATATTTTTTCTTCCTGTTACATAATTTATTTATTATGTAGCTCATTTTTTTTCCTTTCCATCCCTCTTTTCTTTATTGTGTAAATATAATTCTTACTAGTGGAATTATATTTTATTTAAATAAACAGTAAAATATTAAAAAAAAAATGAGTTCACTGTAATCAATATACATATTGTAACCGTTGAGTTTTTTTGTTTGTTTATAATGATTTTATTTAAAAGAGAATCGTAATTATTAAAAAAATGTAAAATGATAAATTAGAACATTAACAAATAAAAGAGAGTTACAATCATTAAAAGATAAATATATCTTAAAATAAATAAACAAATTAACTCCAAGCGTGTGGTTCAGGTAGGGGTTGCAGATCCACACTTAAACAAGGTTAGGAGTTTGAATCCTGCCTTATGTATACAGCTACGTTAAATCTTGAAGCTAGTTATCTCACCTTTTGAAGTATCTCCCTCGTAACGAGGAGATTAGTCACGACGCGGATGTATTCGGCGGGTTAGATTTTGGCTGGCCGTGGAGTCACAGAAAAAGGAAGGAAATCATGGAGACGTCAGAATATATATTTTGGTGGTTGTGATTTGAGGGTAGTCGCTTTTATCATTTAGTGCATGCATGTGCTCTATCTAATTCAATTCATACACTAATTTTTAGTCTTGACGTTTCCAAGCACTTTTATTTCTTTGGTCTCAAATTTCCAAGTACCAAAGTCTAAAGAAAAAGAGATTGGAGTATAGGGTCTCAATTTTTCTAAGTGCAAATTGCATTACCAATTTATTTATTTAAATTTAAATTCATTCGTTTATGGTATACATGTGAATCAAATTGCGTCGTTGGTTTCTCTATCAAAATTCCATCACTTTCTCCTGACATATAGTGGCTCTTTGGACCCATCTTTGGAAGAAACCTAGCTATGTTGTTTAATGTGTTACATTACATATCCTAACTTACGTGTTAATGTGGTGTTTTGACCCCTTTTCAAATACAAGGATAGGTCTTGCACCGACAAGTTTAGTAACATTACTCATTAAGAGTATTTAATATACCTTGTTATATTTTTTTTTTCATTGTTTAAAAAAAATTGTACAATTTTATTTTTCATTATTTAATAAGATAATTTTTTTTTCCTTGAAACACCATTTGTATTAAAGAATTTTGTTTTTGTGTGGCTCAAATAAATGGTTAAAATCCTTGGTGGGGTATCTGGAATCAGCTGGAATATTTAGTCAGAGTTAGGATAGGACGTGTGAGACCCCCTTCTGATTTTCTTCTTTTCTTCCACAAGGCCCTACCCTCTCCCTCTCATTTTTGAACTGAACCCTTCTTTTCCCCTTCGTTTGAACTCAAGGTGGTGGTGCTGGGTTGTGAGGTGTGCTAGCTGGTGTTGGGGTTCCCCTCTCCTTCCTCCTGCATTCAAGCTCCCTAGTTTACTCTTCTCTTCCGCTCAAGCTTTCCGGAGCTCAGAATTTTCACCCGAGGTAAGGGAAGCTAGTAATTTTGTTTCTTTTTCGCTGTCCTTGACTGTGGACGAGTTCTATAAACTCGTTAGATGCTTGTTGGTGTCTGATTCATGGCTGGAATTGAAAGAAAGTTTGTTTTCTTTGGGGTTTCGGGGTTGTTGAGAAATTTTGGGGAAAATCTTTGAATTGTTGTTGCATGTTGAAAAAGGTGGTATTTTTGGACTCTTGGATGAAATTGTAGTAAATTGAACCGATTGCATGCGGGGTTCTCTTATTATTCTACAGATTTTTGAAGAGTTTTTCGAAAATGGTTGGCTGCTGCTGAGCTTCGCGCTGAGCGCGGTTCTTCGCGCCTGGGCGCGTGGCCACCAGGAGACCCCTTTTGGCCAAGCTCGCTGAGCGCAATGACGAGTGCGCTGAGCGCGCTTGAGAATGTGAGTCTCTGGCTGGCCCGCGCTGGGCGTGACTTGGATCGCGTTGGGCGCGATACCAGTTGTGGCAGGTTTTGGTTCTTCTTTTGAGCGCTGAGCGCGCCCCTTGTCGCGCTGGGCGTGAGACTCCTTAGGAGTCTCTGCCTTGTGGGCGCTGAGCGCAAGTTGAATTGCGCTGGGCGCGAGACCAAGGGAGATCTCTGCCTTCCCCGCGCTAGGCGCGGGTTTTGGTGCGCCGGGCGCATGAGACTCCTTGAGTCTCTGCCCGGCCAGCGCATGGCGCAAAGACTATTGCGCTAAGCGCGAGATAGTCTTGGGTTCTCTGGTTGAGTCCCGCTGGGCGCGGGCACACTTGCGTTGGGCGCGCTGACCCCCTGGTGCTCTCTGGTTGTACTGCGCTGGGCGCAACCACGTATGCGCCGGGCGCGGAGATGGGATTGTTGAAATGTTTTATGTTGAGTTGAATTGAAATGGAAGGTGATGAAACGATGTCTAGTAGATAATGTTGCTGTTGATATTGAATTGTATATGGTGAATGTGTTGAGAAGTGGTGTTGAGTTGCAAGTTGATATGTTGAGTTGTATAAGTTGTGTTGTGTTGGAATGTTGATGTGAGTTGATGTTGGCCGCAAGGCTGAGTTGTTGTAGGCCGAAAGGCTGAGTTGTTGTAGGAGATCTCCGAGTTGATATGCGTGACGACGCATTGCATTCTTATTGATGATAATGTTGAAAACTGATGGAATGTATGTTGATGAAGTGTACATAGTTGTGTTTGTTTCTTTCTTTTTTCTTAAAAAAATCTTTCCATATGCTATTTTTTTTATGCTAGCTTACCCTTTGTGTTTCCATGTGGTTGGACTGCTATGATCGTACTATGTACGGGGAGCAGAGCAGGGATAGAAGGTGGATAGCGATGAGTCGGCAGCTGATAGATGGAGCTGACATCTATGGATGTTTTGTTTGTTTTAGTCACTAGGCATAGTGACTTCTGATGTAATTCTTGTTTTATATACCCTAATTCTAGTCGGATTCGGGACATATGTATATACTTATATTCTAGACTCTATATTTATATACTTGTTTTCTATTCTGTCTAGTGTTTCCGGTGTGTTTTGTTGATGAGTGGAATGGCCAGCCGAGTCGTTACAGGACGAGTTGATTTAAATGAAAATTGACGAATGCAATAATGAAGTGCCTAGCTAGCTAATACTCGAACTCTCGTATTCTATCAAGTACTGTGCTTTGAGAGAATGAGACCCTTCACATTCTCATCAATCTGAATACCAAATGTATTGCTAAATTATTATGGATATCCATCTGTCCACTTATAGATTATTATTATTATTTACATTTTAAGATAGAAGGAGTAACAGTTATATTAGGAGGCTAAATTTGAATGATTTTTTTTAATATTTCATTGAAATTGAAAACATGAATCAATAATTTTTTTTTAATGCTAAAACATCAATCTATATATATGAAACGAATGAAATATTATCATGTACTCAAACAACAAACAATATCTTAATCAAAAATGGAATTATTCATCAAACACAGTAAAACAGTGTATAACTATCCATAATGGACTTTGGGCTCTATGGCAAGAAACTTGGTGCAAATTTGATGTCTACATATATATACCATTAACATCACTTTAGTATGTACGTATTTAATATATTTTGTCACTTTATTAGAATTATTAACTTTAAGTATTAGGGTATCTTATGCAGAAATCTCATCAGCGGATATCCAAGGAATTTAGACAAGTCTATAGTAACTCAAACAAGTCATCAGCCTAATCAGACAAGTAGTGATCCAATCCAAATTCATCTCACACAAAATTCCTTCATTTTGGGTGTTATTGAAAAAAAATGGAGAGCCACACATTTAGACATTCCTAAAATTGATTCGAAATAGAGTGTAACCCTAGCCCCTATCGCCATGGATTGAAGTCTATTTTTGTTTCCTCAATGATGGGGGATATGGACCCGCACACCACCACCAGACACGCTCCACAGTTCCCATGATCTCAATCTCAACCGTGGAAATGCCTTTCATCGAATTAAATGCCTCAATTTAGGACAACTCCTTCGTTTCATTCATTCATCAACATCACTCAACGTAACATATTACTCTTTAATATTGTACACGTGATTGTCAATAATTTGATGCCACCTGGCCCACACAAACGATGCCACTTGGTTTTTTTCTGGAACAAAGTGCACTACTTGCTATTATCGCTTCTGCCATACTAGAATGTTTGTTATAGTTAAGCTTAGGTTAGTTCTATACTGTAAACCCACACCTTAATAATATACTAGTATTATAGAATTTTCAATGTCAACTGAACTGTACTAAAATTTTAAGAAGTCAAGGAATTAGGGATTTGCCTCCCAATCCAGAATCGCCAATCAATGTGTACTTGAACTATATGCACCACATGTACAGGAGCATCCATGCATTATTGCAAACACTGATCATGACAACAAGTTATAAATATTGTACATGTTTCAGATCATGTAGTCTAGATCAATTTCTATGTAATACGTAACTTGTATTAGTTGAGACTGTATCATTCCAAAACATGTACTAATAATTTCTCAATAACAGGATAGTCATCGCTCACCGTACATAGGATAATAATGAGAGGTTTTGTGTTATGTGTATATACCAGTATTAATGTAGTTAATGGAGTTAGCTGCCATTTTGGATCAGTCATTCATTCAGGTTGTTAGAGACTGTTGATTTGGATTAATTAATTAATATGATATGCCACCATACGTTGCAATTAATTATCTCTTCTGACTAAAACGAGATAATTAGAATTCGTGGCAATGTGACACATACACAAATAACTATGTCTGATAGGATGCTGGTATCTTGAACACTAATTATTCATTCTGGCACAGTCACATTCAGATGTAAATAAATAATTAATTCAGGTCCTTTGAAACTGTCATTGTTAAGCAACGGTTATGCCATTTTCTCAGACGAAATACCTACCTCATCATGGCCTCATACTCAATGAGGCAATAACATTATTGTAGCCTGAAAAAATAAAAATATTAATCCAAATTTTATTAACTCCTGAGTCATTCTGGTGTTTGCAAGAATGGTTCCCACAATATTAAACGTGAATTATATAATTTTTAATTATCAATTTTAAAATATTGTATAGATCTTGTTTATGAAAAACAAAATTCTTCAATCAATGTTGATACGAGTATCAATCTTGAATTCCTGTAAAAAAAATTAAAAATTCAATATTTTAAAAACTAGAATAGTGGATTGAACCTAACTCAACCCTACAAAACCGGCTTGTAAGGTGAGGGTTGCTCTCCACTTATATACTATTTAATTGCCTAATCTCTAGTCGATGTGGGACTTGGGTTTTTCCCAATACCCCCCCTCACGTCCAGCACTATTGGGCTTGGTACGTGGATAAATGGTAGGTGGCCCTTTTTAATGATCTAGGATTGGCGGGACTTGAATACACCCCCTCATGTCCATGGTGCATGTAGCAATGAATGGTAGGTGGCCCTTTTCTAATTGACGGGACTTGAAATACACCCCCTCATGCCCATGGTGCATGTATCAATGAATAGTGGGTGGCCCATTTTTAAAGTGGATCTAAATGGCTCTGATACCATCTTAGAATAGTGGATTAAGCCTAACTCAACCCTACAAAACCGGCTTATAAGGTGAGGGTTGCTCTCCACTTATATACTATTTAATTGCCTAATCTCTAGTCGATGTGGGACTTGGGTTTTTCCCAATAGACTCAGTTAAATCAATTTAACATAAGGTGTTATCACTACAAGAAATTTGTAGAATAGTGACACACACCCTATAGTGAAACTATATATGTCACTAAAAATTACTTTTATCCACACAATAATTATAATATATGTTGCTATATTATTAAAAAGTGTGAGTATAGGTTATAGTGACACACAAAATATGTTGTTAAATTTTATTCAAAATCAACACTAAAATTATGTGTAACTATATGTCAAATAGACATATACTTATATATATTGTACCTATAGTAACACTTTTTGTATGTCACTATATTAACATTTCTTGTAGTGTATTGGGAATCAATTGAGAGTTAAAAAAACAATTTTATTCACAAATTATATATATTTTTTACTTTATACGTATTTTTTCGTTAAAATTTTAGACTGATATCCAAATATATGTATAGTCAATAGTTCCAAAGCATATTGATCGAGCCAGCTAGTACGATCTAGTTTTTAAATCGATAAGAAAAGTAATCGATAGAAATGAGCAATTGTTTAACATAAAATTGAGTTCAGGTTATACAGTAAGATTAATATAAAAATTTATTAAAAATAATAAATATTAAAGAAAAAATATCAGATGATATGTTATTAGTATTTTTCATACATCATTGTTATATTAACTGTATACTTTTATTTGTTTTTAATTTTATGTAAGTTGAAATCAACGGTAGAGAGTAAACTACATTTTGAGTGATTTTTTTTCTTTCATTTTTATGGGGATAGAATTTCCTAAACTCTGCTTGCACTACAATAAAATGAACTTTTAGTAGCATTTAATATGATTTTTAATGGTAATAAAAATTGTTACAAAATCTTTTACCGGTATTTCACACATTAGCCATTGTATGCAGTGTCGCTAAAACATTTACCGGCAATAATTCTATATGCTGGTAAAGACTCTCATAATGGTCGGGAAAAATATATAACTTTTTGTGTCATTTGTTACTGACATTTAAAATTGCCGCTAAAAGTTTAAGAAAAAATTTATAATACTCTTTAATTATCTTATTTCTAGTCGATATAGGACTTGTAAGATGAATACAAATACTCTTTAGTTACTTTATTTCTAATTGATGTGGGACTTAGAAGATGAAGGTTACCTTCTAAGTATATATTCTTTAATTTTTTAATTATCTTATCCCCTAAATATCAACTTAGAATAGTAAGTTATAGGCTTAACTCAACCTTATAAAACATACTTGTAAGGTGAGAGTTATCATTCACTTATATACTCTTTAATTATTTTATTTCTAATCGATGTGAGACTTAAGTTTTTCTAACAAATAATTGTTGCTAATAGTAAATTTTGATGTGATGTAAATACATTTTTAGTGACCATCATATAATAATTATTAATATTTTTATTAAATAATAAAATAGAAACAAATAATTTATTATCATTAAATAATTGTCGGTAATACTAAATTTTGTTGTAGTGTTAGGCCTACAACTCAATGTTTTGTATAGACTATAGAGTCGCAAATTAACACCAAAATTTTCATAGACTCGTGCATGTAACGTGCTAGTGTGCTACCAAACACATAAGAGTATCCTTCTTGGTATAATGTGGTTGGGCCACTTCATGGGCTAAAAGACAAACTCTGTTGAGGCCCGAGACTTTTTCTGCTCGTAGCTACCTCCTTCTATCCATGTACTAGATCAATACTCATGCTATACATAATTTATTTTAGTAAGTCGAGCAATTTGATATTTAATTGATTATATAAATAAAAATTTACAACAATAATAAATATAAAGTATATAATATTGAGAATAAGTTAAAATTAATATTAAAAAATAAATATACACGAATTTATTGTTACAAATTATTGAAAAATTCTTTATAAATAACATTATAACACATTTTTTAACCTTTTATTTTTACAATTACTAACTAAAATTTATAATTTACACTTTGATATAATTCTTGAAACTGCTACATACAGTTGACTATGAGAAAAAATTAGTTCTAAAATAAACACTCTAACATGTTTTAGATATTGACATTGACTTTTGTTAATAGTCATTATTAATGAAACAATCAATAAAAATTATTTTCATTGAAATATGAATGAAATATTAACATTTGAAAGAGTTAATGATAAAAATAGTTACAAGAAAAAAATTAATTGACATTATTCTCAACGATTTAGTTTAAAAATTTTAAACATATGTTAGTATTATTATTTATTTAATAAATTTATTCACTTTTAATTATTATCAATTTTTTATTTATTTAAATAGGAAATTTTTCATTAATAGTATTCTATATTTCTATGGA